CTTCTCGTAGTCGACCGACATCTGTTGGTGTGTCAAGAGCAGCTTCTGATGGACATCCTTCATCTCGTCCATTTCGTGCTGCTTGGCGGCGATCTCGTCACGCAGCTCGGACACCTGGCGGGTGTGGGCTTCGCGCAGCTCGTCCATCTGGGAGTCGAACATGGAGCGCAGCTCCTCCGCCCGCTGTTTCTCCTCGGCATTGACGGCGGACACGTGCTCGGCGGCCTTCAGTTTGGCGCACTCCTCGCGTAGCGAATCGATTTGCTCCTCCAGGGTGCGCTTCTTGTTCTCCGCCTCGCGCATCGACTCCTGCAGCGACTTCATGCGTGCCTCGTGCTGCGAGATGAGAAGACGGTACTCGCCCAGGTCCTTCTCGTACTCGGAGATCTTCTTGTTGGAGTCCGACTGCTGTGCCTCCATGTTGGAGCACCGCTGGGCAATGTTCTTGGCCTCCGTCTTCATCTTGCTAATGTACAAGCGGGCCATGGTGAAGTCCTCCTCCACCTTGCTGGCATCCGTGCCAGCCAGAGCACTCATCTTGAGGTCGATGCCGGACTCTCCGGGGGCGATGGCCTGGCCTACTTCGCCAAGGTCGCGCAGCAGATTGGTCAGCATTTCGGTGATGCGCTTCTTTTGGTGCGTGGACATGTCCTTCAACTGCTGCAGCTCCGTGGAGGCGGCGCTGAATACAGACTGCTTCTGCTGCAGCTCCTCGTTAAGGGCGTCGATGTCCTTGTTCTTGTTGTCGATCTCCTGGGACTTCTGGTCGTAGTTTACAGCCAGCTCCTCGAGAGCTTGGAGCACCTCCTTGACCTCTTCCTTGGCGGACTCGTTCTCCTGTTGGATTCGCGCCATCTCCGACTGCAGAGTCTCATACTCCCGCCGTGCGTTGGCGATGAGCTCCTCCTGCTCCATCACCTGCTCCTTGAGCTGCTCGGCGTACTGGCTCTGCTGGTTGATCTCTTCGTCTTTGTCGTCCAGCTGCTGGTACAGTCGCTCGCATTCCGTGGCCAACCTGGCCTGCTCATTTGCGGCCACCGAAGCGGACATGTTGGCGAGGGCAGTTCGCTGGGCGACCAAAGCCGCCTCCGCCGCCGCCGCTTGGGCTGCCTCCACTTCCAGATTGGGCGTGCTTGCCTCCATGAGATCCTCCATGTTGATTTGCTCCTCCGCCTTAACGGTTTCGCCAGCCCTCCAGCGCGCCAGCTCAATCTCCAGCTTCTCAACTTTGCCCTTGAGCCGGGCGTTCTTTTCCTTCTCCTTCTCGTAGCGTCGCTTCCATTCCTCGGCAGTGAGCTCCTCGTTCACGCAGACCACGTTCTTCACGGTCTTGGCTCGTCGACCAAAGTCTAAAGTAGATTTGGTCTCCGATTCGTTGAAGCTGGCCGGGGAGCAGCAGATGACGATGGTTGTGCGTGCGTTACCTCCCAGCGACTCCTGCAGGATGCGCGTGAGCTTGGAGTCGCGGTAGGGGATGTGCGTTTTGTTGCCGTCCGCCAGGGCGGAGATTACGTTGCCCAAGGCCGACAGCGACTTGTTGATGTTCTTGGCTTCATCGAGGACCGTGCCCTCGGCTCCTGTCTTGGAAACCTTTTCGGAACCGGCCAAATCGACCAGGTAAAGTTTGCCGGAAAGCTTCTTCTGGTTCTCCAGGTTCTCCTGCTTTACGTTGATGAGGAATACTGAGTGGGATCGCGAAGAGTGCTCGTTCATGTCTAAAAATGGGCGGAGAAATCATTATAGACGATCTAGGTCAAGAAAATACAATAGGGATCAGAAGAAAGGCATTGGGAATGCTAATATCTTAAAGTTTCTTGATTAAAAACAAGTCATTATGTATATATTCATCTATAAGAACTAATTTGATAATTAAACCATGAGGGCTTGTTAATTGAAAACAAGTGACTAATTATAATATCAAATGCCTGCCACATCATATATGTACATTTTACAATGTATATTATACATATACTAGTCAAATTTTGCGATCATACTTTTTTATAATCATCTGAATTATTTTATATTATTCATATTAACGATCTGTTAATGATAATGTTTTCAACTATTTGTCATGCTATACCTATATCTTACACTTTTTAAAATTCATGTGTGGTTCCTAGCTGCCTTTGCTCTGACCTCAGTTACGGGTAAGGACTCACTTGTCACCGCGATGTGGCGATTGGATTTTCCCTCCTCGATCACCTCGAATACATCCTCCGGCGAGGAGACGAACCGCTCCGTGGCGCCCTTCACGTACGGCACCCGGTTCTTGTCCTCGTGCACGCTGAGGTTCACCTTGGAGACGTCCAACAGATCCCGGATCTTGTCCATGTAGATCTCGTAGTAGGAGACCTTGATGTGGAACTCCAGGTTCACCTCCATGGCGTAGATGTGGTTGAAGATGTCGTTGACGATGCGCGGTATGATGCCCTGCTTCACGGAGTCCCCGATGACGCCCTCCATCGTGTGCGTCTTTCCGGAGGACGTCTGGCCGTAGGCGAATATCGTTCCATTGTAACCGGCCAGGACGTCGGTGACGATGGACTTGGCCGCCTCATTGTAGACCTTCTCCTGGGAGGCGTTCGGCTTGAAGACCTTGTCGAACAGATATACCTTGCCCTGGAGAAGGAGGGGATTATGTTTTTTTTTAGTATGTAGTTATATTGTAGTGCTAGTTGCGGTGAAATTTCTTTCGGAGATTCATTCCCCCCTATCCCTCCGCATCCATATTTTTCCCGCTGACTGCTTTTAAATCATTTTCAACGCATGGCCGCGAAGCAGATTGTAATTATGAGCATTAAGAAATGGTGAGAGGAGTAGGAGCAGGAGAGGAGTGAAAGGGGGGGAAGAATAGTGAATAACGAGCGGCAGAAGAAAGACGGAGCGAAAGAGAGACAGGGAGAGAGTAATGATAATGTCTGTGTGTATGGAGGCTACACTACATTAGTGCTGACTTTTTTGGAACTGGTTCAATTGCTCAAGTTTTTACCAGGAAAATGACGGATTACACCTGGCGGAAAACCCAAAACATATAATCCAATAACATTTCACGTCGAATAAAAGCAATACATCCAAATTCCAATGCCTCCAAAGTTGCTCTTATTGTTTTCCTTCTTTTTTATGGTTTGCGTGTGCATGACTCACTCGAGCGGGAAAGGGGGTGGATGGGGGGCTTGGGGAGTGGAAAGGCGGTCTCTTTCTGTCTCTGTGTGTGTGTGTGCTAGTGCTTGTGTGGAAATGTATGTATGTAAGTGAGGTAAGCAGCGAAGGCGGACTGGAAACTCTAGAAAAGCGCATATTTATGTGGCCCAAAAGAATGGAACACCCGCTTTTAGCACAAAAACCTTCTAGTGGGTGGTCTACCCCCAAAACCCCTCGCGCACACCCCATGTTCTATGCCATTCCGCGCACGGAAAATCAATTTAGGGCCAAGCAATATTGATTCGGAGTAGTTTCTTCATGTTTCACCGTCTAATCTATCTTTTTGGTTTTGCATAGATGGTTTTTCTGCAATTATTCATGGCTAGCTCTGGGGCCCCTCTCTCTTTCGCCAGCCCAATTCCAATTGGTCGGCAATTTGGGGAAGGGTAATGTACGCTAATAGGCATGACGTCATGGCACGGCACGCAGAGATTAATGCATAACACACAGGGAAGACACATAGGGGGAACTCTCGGGAGAGGTAGGGTTCGGGTTCGGGGATTTGGGACACCCATCTGGAACACATACCGCTATGGATATGCAGTTCTCCTCCACATTGTTGGGGAACTTGACCACGAACTTGGAGCCGGCCTTCTCCTCGCTATCGTTCAGCGGTCGGAAACGGCAGACCACCTTGATGCTGTCCTCGGCGGAAATTTCGCGTTCCGCGGACATCGCTTACGGCGGAGTTGGCTCTTTCTGGCGGAGATTGCTCTGGAGCTCTGGGCGCGACCTCTGCGCATGCAGCTGTTTACGTGGATAGTCCGCGAGTCACAGCACTGCACTCCCTTTCCGGCACTATCTGGTACTCCTCCGTGGGTCTATACTAACTCCAGAACTCCGTGCTGCTACGATTCTTTGCCTGATTTTCCGACTCCGTCGCACTCGCGAAAATTGGGTTGGGGGCGGCTCAGTAGATGCAGTGAAAATTTTGTGGTTATACCAGACACAAATGTCGATTTGATCGAATGGTTGGGTTGTAAAATCGCGGCTTTGAGGGTCCGCGTACGCTTTTTGCACTAGCCCGGAATGATTAAGTGCGGCCGATAAATGCACTCTCATACGTCAGTGGGTCGGAATTTGTGGCACTCGAAACTCTATTTTACTCGACTATTTTATTTTCGCCCGTACGCCAGTGTGACCGTTCTGGCTGGAGATGGAGAAACACCGATGTTAACATTGATATTATCGATGTTTTCAAAGCGTCGGTAATATCGATGTTTGGCAATCCAACACCGATTTTCTTCCATCTCTATTCGCTGCTCTCTTGCGAGAAATCTTGTATCTTTTACTAACACTTACGTTGTGCTATCTCGCTTTTCATTTTCCGAAAATACCGCAAAAATACCGTTAAAAGCTTTTCTTTCTGTATACCCTGTAATATTTGCGATCTGTAACGGAAATTAAAATTTAAAAAGGGCGATTAGTTTTTAATGCCTTGAAATTAATAGCAATCTGATAGTATACAGTTCATAGTAAATAAATTTATGCTTTAAAGTAAATGTAATACAAATTATTATAAAGTCTTTCCTCTTAAAGGTGAATGAAAGAATAAATATTTTCATTCTATCAGATTGGTTCAATGTATCGAACATTTAATTTGAATTAGGGAAACATACTCCTTAGCACTTTTGTTTCGTGTTTAAAAGAAAACAAGAAGCAATTGAATACTAAACGGTGTTTAATGGTATACTTTTAAAATTAACTTTTTTTGTGCTATTCACAACTTAGACTTTTTCGTATAAAAGCTTTTCCTTAGTCTTTTTAAAACCCATCCATTTCAACGCGTTTCTAAGTTTTTTTTTGAATGTCTGAATTTTGTGTCAAAATTCTTCGGCTTGGGGGTAACAAAAAATAGTGTTTAAGGCTTGTCTGTTTCCAAACTTTAAAGGTTAGGGACAACGCTATGGAAATTTGATCACCGAGTCTGGGAGCAGTGTAAGGGGCTGAGAGGCAAGATGGCATTGGCATCCGAGGACAACTCTTCGTACTTAAATATGGAACGCTTAAAAAAGACCCAGAAGCTCATCCACCTTTATCGATCATACGAATGCCTATGGAATCCCCAATCTCCTGGTTACCACAGCAGTACTGTAAAGGATGACGCTTGGCGAAGGATAACTCTCCATATGAAGAGCGGTTTAACCCCTGACCAGGTAAAGCTGCAGATACTCGGCCTCCGAAACTATTACTCCCAGGAATGTTCCGCCCTTCAAAGGAGTCAGCAAGAAGGTTATAGTTATGTTCCCAGGCACTCTTATTTTCAGGACCTGCAATTCTTGGGTAACCTGGATGTTGAAGGAACAAACGAGGTGAGTGATGGGGCAATAGATAGAAGAGTGACCCATAATTATCCTTTAATCCCTAGCCCAAGGCCAGTTTTAGCATGGGCCAAGTCAATGACCTCCTGGAGGATGCTTTTATTCTAGACGACAGTAGTACTATTAGAGCAAACAATTCGCCAAACTTTTCGGAGGCCACATTCTTTTCTCCTTTAGCTTCATTGAGTCCCTGCGCTAGTTTAACCAAAGACGGTTACACCTTCTATAAGATGATATTAGAACCTGAACCACCCAATGAAGTGGAACTAAGGGAGTTTAAAAAGCGATCCACCTCTGGCAATGACCGCTGGTACCCCACGAGCTACTGTGTGAAGTGCAACCAAGAGGAAGAAGGAAGAGGTCAAAGCAGTGGGATTAGTACTGAAAGTAAAAGTTCCTCGGATGGGAATCATTGTGGCTGTAGCAATGAGTGCTCGTGCTCAAACCAATCTCAGGATAAGCCAAGAAACTTGACAAATCGAAACGGTGTTCAGTATCGAACACAGGATCAAATTCCCTTACCGAACAGCCATAAGCGCTCTCCGCGAACCCATCAAAATGGCGTCTTTGTGGATCTGGGCAACTGGTACGATGGGGCGTCCACCAATAATGGAGAGCGCAACGATAAGTGGCCAGGTCCCAGACTATGTTCTCAAAACCGCCAGGGATGGCAGCCCAGATACCGCAAAGTAGTCCCAAATGATGATCGAAAGTCCAAGTGCGGGAGTTGGAAGCGGAATAATGATGCCATATGCCAGCGTCTTCAGGATCAGTTGGCGAGGCAGGAGAACCAAAGTGGACGTTACTCCGAAGGAGCCTCCGAAGAATTCTCTGCCCAGAGTGATCGTCGGCGGTCGGGCGATGATCAGTTGAATGCGGTGCTATCAGAGAAGAAGGCTCAGAAGAATAGGAACACCCAGAACCCTCCCATTGATCCGGCTCAGTATAACAACAATCAACCGATTTCAAATCAGGCTTACTATAATACAACCCAACCGGTTGAAAATCAATGCTATTGCGATTCTAACCAATCAAATGTGGATCCCCAGCGATGTAGTACTTATGGATGCCAGTGCATGTACTGCAATCGAACTGTGGTTCCATCCCAGGGGAATTACTACGTAACGCAGCAGATCGATCAGAATAACCCAGGTTATTCCAGAGCAGCTCCCCCAGATAATCAAGTGGGACAGGCTCAACCTTATGGAGAAGCGAATTATTTTAACGAGTACGGACAGCCTGCATATCCCAATCAACAGCATGTCTACTGCATCAATACAGAAAATGCAGAAATGTGGGTAAGGGGTCAGTCCGCGTCTGGAGCTCCAAGTCCTGCCCAGGTGCCCGTGACTCCGCTACCTAGGTCTTGGCCGCAGGAAATGGAAAGTGGCCTACCTCAGCCAGGTAGTCAGGCCGTAAGTGCTCCTCCCCAAAGTCTAGACAAGATCTTTTCATCAAATATAAATAAAATACTTCAGCCCGAACAACCTATTCAGCATCCTACAGCAAAAAAAAGACCAGTGCCACCGCCACGGGATATTGAATATGTGGAGTGCCCTGCCTATAAAGGGGTACAAAAATCAAGAAGGGGAAATTACCAAAGTCAACGAAGAACTAATGATTCTGAGGACTCTGTTGATGGAAACGATCAACCGAGAAGATCATATGACGAAGGCAGCCGAACTCGAAAGAGACAACGTAATCAAGATTCAGATCGTCAAGTTCCGGGGGAAAATCCGTGTAAGTGTCCAGCTAGCAGCCGCAATCCAAATGAAGAACTTCCTACACAAAGGCGACCTCGCAATGATGATGGGGTTGTTAGTAACCCCAATTCCAACTATGAAAATTCTCCTTCTCCACGGCGGGGCAGCTCAAACAAATCAAAAGTTTTTCAACTTCAAACCGACGATTCTCAATATATAGAGTGTCCAGCGTATAATCGTGAAAATCCCAAGGAATGTCCCAATTTAAAATGCAGACTAGACGATCCCAGTCAACCAAACCGCGAAGAAAGAAGCGTCCGAAGAAAAAGACCCCCTTCAGGGGACCGGGACTATGATGAGGAGGAAACTCCAAGTTCAAGGAGAAGACCCCAAGGTCAAGATAGAAGTAGTCCAGAAAACGGTGACTATGAAGAGCAAAAACAAAGTGTCAGGGAAAAATACGCTGGTCAAAGGCAAGATGATAGTTCTCGGAGCAAGAGAAAATCAGATGATGAAGCTTATAGGTCAAAAAGGCGAAAGGAAGAAAACTGCACCGACAAAACCTGTCTGTTTAGAAATTCTTCTAAGCAATATAATGATCGTTCCGGTCGGGAAACGGGTAACCCAAGAAGTGGTAATGGCAATGGTAAATATCAAAGCTCCAAAACAAAGTATAAGGAGTGCAATGATTCTACGTGTCCATATCTTAAATCTGGCGTAGTAAAAGCATCCCCTCAAGAAAAGTCGCGAAAGCAACGAGATCAATCCTATCCAAAAGAGTACGACGAGGAAGAAAGTGAAGTCAGAAGAAAGTATAGAAGTGAGTCCCCAGCAAAAAGGCCACCACGGGATTTTAACAAATTTGAAGATTTCGAAAAAAACCAGAAAGATGTTAGGAGCTATAGGCGAACGAGAAATGAAGCTCCCTCTGATATTGATGATTCAGATGACAATGTGTATAAGTCAGGAAGATATCAAAATGATAATCGCAACTATTATAAAGACCAAGATAATGATATTGATGATTCAGATGACAATGTATATAAGTCAAGAAGATATAGAAATGATAATCGCGACTATAATAAAGAACAAGAAGATCGGGGGCCTACAGAAAGAGTTAAAAAGTATTCGATAAGGGAGGAAAGAAATTTTATAAGAAAAGATAATGAAAGATATCAGAGAGGTTACCGCAATGGAAACGATTACATAAACAAAACAGTAGATGAGTGCATGTGTGAAGACGATTTGGACTCCGATGAACAGGATAATGCCTATGGTGCCTATCCTGTGAGGGAGAATAAGAATCGAGGTGAGAAGGTATCGAATGATTATAAAAGAACAGAAACATCAAGAAAAATCAAAAGTTATGATGACTCGGAAAGTGAGAAAAACAATTATCGGAACCGATATGAAGACCAGCAACCTTCTTATTCAAGGGGAACGAACAAGGCAACTTCTTATTCGAGGGGAATGGATGTATACGATTCGGAATATGACTGCCTTTGCAGTGATAATGAAGATCCTCAAAGCTCTAGGCAAAACAGGAGCAATCAAGCAGCCAGAAACGATCAGAGGACCTCAAGCAACACCAAAAATGAAATGAAAGAAAAAACCAGAGGAAATATAAGCAATGCAGGGGCCGATTTAAATGGTAACGATTATCATAAATACGAAAACAGAAATAACAATAGGGCACCTGAGTCTTCTACGCCAATTAGAAGTAGACAAGATAATCAGAATTCCGAAGATCCTGGAAAGAATGACAGAGATAAAACCAATGAAGTAGACGGCTGTTTATGCGAACCTGAAGGAGGTGAATATTACTCTAAATACCAAAATGGGAATACCAATAGGACGCCAGGGATTCCCTCGCCAAACAGAAGTAGAAAAGATAAACAAGATCCCAATGATATTGGTAAGGATGACAGAGGTATAAGAAACGACATAGATGTCTGTGAATGTGATCCTAATGAAGCTGAATATTCCAAATACGTAAAAAGCAGCGCCAATCAACAAGCTAATGATAACGATGTTTCTTGCGAGGATTGTACATGTGATCCAAACGAACCAACGATATCTGTGGGCAAGGAACGAAATCAAGCTGGTAGTATATGCATGGCACTCAATGCCTTAGCCGAAAGCCAGGATCACAAAAAAGAATCCAGCGGGAGGTCCAAGAAACCATTGAAGATGGAACGAAAGGAAGCCAAAACCAAGCCAGTATTTACCAGTGATAACCAGACGCCTACCGCAAAGAAGAGTTCCCTCCCAAAGACGGGGGTTTTCCCCAGAGTCCAGTCCAGATCCGCAAGTCCCGCTCATCTGCCTGCAGCTCTGAAGACTCAACCAGGAGAGCCGATCAAGAGAAAAACCTCGACGAGGACTGGAGGACCATCCAGCGCCGCAAAGAGAACCATGGACACAAATGCAGCTGCCAACAGCAAGTTGCCCTTTGATCTAAACTCGGCCGCCTATTTTATTTGCAAATTACAGGACGAAGGTAACAACCATCAGTACCTCCTTGTGGTGCCAAAGAAGCCGATTGGACCACCAGATGGCCAACGGATGGGCCCAGGACAAGAGTCTGTGAAGCAGCTGCACTGCCAGCGGCAGTGCTCCGGCTTTCAGAGCATGTCCTGGGTCGATTCGTCGGCCATCAGCCAATCCCAGCCATCCCAGCAATCCCAGACGAGGGGAGGTGGCCTATCCGTACTGGGCTCCTTTAGGGTCCCACCTGTCCTGGCCAGCACGGCGCTGGGCATAATCAAGGAGCACCTCAATAGATCCACTAAAGACACAAATCCAGGTTACAGAGAGGCGTTATCTCCCCCCCATAAGAAATGGCGTTCGTTACTATCCAGAGCGACGTCTTCGAGGCCCAGGAGACCCGTTCTTCGGCCGTCCCACAAAGCCAACGCTCTGATTCTGGACGAGAACAGGACCTTACTGCTCACCAACAATCCCTTTCAAGATTTGAGCTTCGGTGACAACAGGCGAGATATTATAGTGCTACACCCACCGGTTCCAGGTTTTCGGCCCTCTAAGAACTCCTTCAGCAAGGACGAGGTGGAGATGCAGCACATCTCAGTCCCCAGCCAGGACACCGATGTGCATCGTAAGCCACCCAGGCCGCCTATAAAACCCAGAAAAAAGCATCCTCGGTGATCAATCCATAGCTGTAATGTCCTCACACATACTTCCCGGCCCTTGAATCATCATATAAAGAACAGCACCCAACCGAAGCCGAAGGACTCAGCTGCCTTTTATTCAATGAGAGATGTTTTCGGCCAGGAGTCGAGGGGCTTCACGCTTCGCCGCCCACTGTGGTGGCTCCGGAGTTTTGGGATCTTTCGGGGTTAGCCCAAAACTTGACAGTCTCCTATCAATGAACTTTTCAGTAATTAATTTACGATCGTTTTCGAAACCATTGATCCGTAGCCAAACGATCCGATGGCCAATTGAATCTGGGTTTTTTAGATAGTTTAGTAGGGGGTGCTAGAACTGCCTTAGGGTGTAAAGGGTTAACGAAGTAGCAAAATATATCAGTAGTATTTTTGTTAGATTTTGAAACAATCATCCATTTTAAATACTGACACACTGAAAGCCGACAATACAAACTGATAGAACTTATTTTTCAAATGGGATACATTTTAAGAAAATGCTATGAAGGGTGGGGGTTAATGAGCGTTTCAACAAAGTAGCTTTAAACCCACGAACCAATTTTTAATAAAGTCCCATATTCGAATGTCTTAAATATCAGCTTTTGGAAAGTATCGTTTTATCGTGGGAACCCTTTTCCAGTTTTCAAGTATGGACAGCAATGGAAAATATTTTAGAAACATTTTTTCTCTTTAAAACGAAAACACCCAAACTTTCTTATGTACCATGCCATATGAAATGCAACCCAAACTAAATATTAAAGGTCCCGGGTATACCATCAGCGGTCATGTCATTAAATGCTTTCGTATATCATTTATTTCTTTTGTATCTTTAGCCTATTCTACAGTAAGAAGAAATCACATAGCTTAAATCTAGGAGAGAATGATTTGCAGTATCCATCTATGATAAGGATCCTCCGCTCAACCCGAAGCTGCCTTCGCTACCGCCGAAGATTGTGTAGGCGGCGGCATCCACCTCCACATCGCCGTTGTTGAGGAGATCGCATAGCGCAAGGATATAGGACTGGGCCATCTGGAGGGTCTCGAACTTGGACAGTTTCTGGTCAATGGAGGGAGCGGGCACCACTTCCCTCAGCCGATCGAAGGCCTCATTTAATCCATTCATGCGTTTTCTTTCCCGGGCATTGGCAGCCTGTCGTCTTTTCTTCTGGACAGTGGGACTGAGATTGGTCTGCTCCAGACTGCTCTTCCTTCCATCCGATCCCGTGGAGCTGTTACTACGCCGTTTGTGAGTCTGCTGTTGAGTTGGTTTGCCTGGTACTTCCAGGATGGGTGCCTGTTCCGTTTGAGTTCCTCCTGCGGCATCTAGGAATTGCCATTCCGGTGATAGGAAAGCCGACTGTCCGTAATCCTGCGAAGAAACGGGCAGCTGGCTGAGGTTATAGTTGGGACTGCCCAGGTACTGAGAGCTGCCGTCCTCCTCGGAGGCAGACGAGTAGTAGTAGCTCATGGCAGATCCGCGCGGCTTGAAAGTTTCGATGCAACTGAACCGATCCCAAGAAACGGCGCTACATTCTGCAGTCAACCCCCGCCTCAGTGCGTTCTACAAATATTTTCACCGCCGTTCTGGCCAAGTTTGTGTAAAACGGCCCGCAAATGACCCCTGGCCCCAGGATCCTCGCAGTTATTACCATATCCCAGCCGAAGGATCTCCCCGAGGAGCAGGGGTGACTTTGACCCCCGGCCGCACACTTAGGGGTTAGAAGTGTGCCCATCTCTCTCTCTCTCTTTCGCTCAAGCGAGCACGCCTACACTCCGCCTGCTGTCGTCTCGCTCTCGCAGGGCACGCGTCATATCTTGCCAAATTGGTGCTATCATGCCATGTGATCTTCTCCTCTCCTCTGTTCCCCGTAATTTGTGACTTTCACGCTCAACGGCACACGAGTGGGAGAGGGAGAGGTGGCGAGGATGAGCTACTGTACTGGATGGACGGCAGGGGCCATCAATTAACCCGCTGGCGAACTGCATTCTGGCTCGCGTCTAGTGACCATATGCTGTGCTGCACCGACCCAACTTCGGTTAGGAACCAACATATGGTCGAGTTATAGGCATAGTGCTCTGACTCTAAGTGGTGGCCTTTCGTCCTGCGAAGGTTGTGTCCTTGGCAGACACACGACATTTGCCGTCTAGCCATTTGGGGAATCAAACTATTAACTGCTATTGAACAAATATCACAATATCCAGCGGCTATTAAAAATATATCATTGAATGCATAGTTAATTACCTTGTCTTTGATGATGTTATCCCTTGGGATATTACTTCCACGTTAGAAATATGCTAACGGAAACCTTAAACTATAATTGATCTCTAACTATAAAAAGATACGGATTATTAAATCTTAAAAATATTTAACTGTAGTTAAACTGTTTTAATAAGGAAACTAATTTTATTGTTTAAAGTAAAAACATTATTCATTAATTGTATTGTCATTTAAAATTTATTTAACTTTTTATGCCATTACATATTTTATTGTTTCATTCACAGGGTATTTAAAAGTATGTTTTCATGTATAAAGGGAAACCACATATCTTGACTTTCAAAACGTTTTCCGAATTCCATACTGTAGGTGCACATATGTTACAGAGAGGAGTTCCAAAACATGAATCTTAATTTCATTTTAAATTATGTTAATGAATTTACATAAGTCTAAGTCCTTTATGAAAAGTTATTATTGAAACATTTAATGTTAAAAATAATTTTTTAAATATAATATTTGTATGCCACCATAACCCCTAGACCCTATATTTTTTGGCCCTTCATCGCAGTGGAGGAGAACCTGTTTGCGCATGCACCGCCGGTGGCAGGACTCCCATCTCCTAGTTATCCCTCTGCCCTTCCTCTCTCGTTTGGCTCTCGTTTTGTTTTGTAGAGAAATACGAGGCGAGGACGAAGAGGAGCTTCGTGTTTTGATTCAGCAACAGGATTGAATATAAGGGCAGCCAGCCAACACAGTGTTATCATTTGAAGAAAAGGGTTCTGTCGTAAATAATCACAGTGAAATTGACCAGCAGGTTCCATAAGAACTTATCAGGCTTATCAGGATATTCGAGAGGACCAGCTTAATCGGCTCAGGAATCATCTGAGCGTGGGATTAGCAATAGTTGCATTCAGGAAGCGAAAAGCCCACCCACTCACTCACCCACGGATGTGTCTGTACTTGGGAGTCGTGGAACACCTGCTGGATGTGGTGGCCTACTGCATGTGCCGTGTCCTGGAGCTGTCCCTGTTCACCTGCATGATGGTCTGCGGTTCGCTGAAGGCCAAGCTGACCCACGGACCCACCAACGAGCTGGAGCAATGACCAGGACACTACGAGAGCTGCTAAAGGATGCGCTCCCTGCATTTGTGCGTTTGTGTGTGTTTCGACTAAAATTTAATAAATGAATCTTTTTCTATAGTGGCGAATAAATTACAACTTATATATGAGTAAAAACGATTGTCTTTCCCCCTGGTTGGTTGGGAATTGAATCATAACTCAAGATTGCCCACGGCAAGGATTTGCTCTACGACTCCCTGGATTTTTGCTGCTTGTTTATCCACCAGCTCCCTCTTTATTTATTTGTGTTGCGGAGTCGTTTATCGTACTTATTACCCCGGGGAAGGGATTATAAGGGGTACAATGCCCATTTGCATGATGATAAAGTATCGACTGGGGCCTACGTACTGGCCAATTGTGTTGTGGCTTTTGTTTTTGGCGCCTGCAAATATGCTTCACTTCGGGCCAGACATTTTATTGCCATCCCCCCACTCCATACATAGGTTCTACTCCAGTATTTATGTAGTTGTTTACAGCCGACGGCTGAAACATAAATTTATTCAAATTGTACGTGCAAATGGGAGGACTTAACGTTTATTACACAGCACCAGCACACAGCAGGCCCTGGGATTCCAACTTTTCCGACAAACACAAGTGAAGTTTTTGATACACTTTTGATAGCTCAACAACTAAATCCTACTAAATTTCCCCCGATCATGGACAACCCCATAAAACAGCGCCACAAACTGAAGAAATTCCACACCACCAAGCTGGAAGAAGATCTTTCGAAAGCCGTCGAATCAAAAAATAATATTACCAGTGAGGTAGAAGGTCAGCCCGATTACATGAAGTATCCCAGTAACAAGGCAAAGGGCAAGATGGTCAAGAGCATGAAGCCCCGGAAAACGGTTACCTTCAAGATGATGGTGGAGCTGGTGACCTTTACGGACAACTGGAAGATGAAGATGATCGAGAGTAAGCTGCGCACGGAGGAGGAGCAGGTGTGGTTGCGGGTCCTAAGGTCTAGTCTTAGGCGCTCTAGAACCTAGTATTTCTGATGCATTTAGATTGACTGAAAATACCTTTCAAAACTTTTATGAAAATAACTTTTTTAAATATTAGCATCCATTTCTTATGAGCTACGATTTGAATATACTAAATCTAATAAAAAAGAATCTTTTAAATTAGAAATATAATTTTTTGATATATTTTTTGGTTGATCTATGTTAAAACTAATGTTTTTTCTCATCCCCAGCTCAAGTGTTCCCTGAAAAGGCGCAACTTCTGAAGATTTCCGGTTGTGGATTGTTTAAAATTACGTCATTAAATAAATTTGTTATATGTAGTAGCCAATATATAAAATTTATTGTTGGTTAAAAATCAACCTTGCGTTTTATTCACTTTCTATAAAGTACCTTTTGTATTATATCATTACTATGTATTACGGTTTTTAGATAGCAGCGAAAGACAAAGTCTTATCATTTAAACTTACTTAATAGATATGTTTAAAAAAGCATTGGCAACCGCTTTAAACATTATTCATGGTGAGTTCTAGGTATCTGGAATTTGATTGGATTTTATTGTAAACTGGATTTTAATAATATCAAGAATTTCGGAAGGTGTTCTTGCAAACTTCCATATTTAATTCACAATTTCAAGCCCCTTAACTATAACCCTATATAACCCCTATAACTTTTCACCCATCGCTTGGCAGCGCAGATTGTTAATGATGTTGCAGATGACGTACTCGCCAGTGTCCTTGCCCCCGAACTCCTTGGTGCGGATTCCCTCGTCCATGGTGCGCAGCATCTCGCACCACAGGGCTTTTGCGCAGTTGTGGTGACCCAGATGCTCGAAGAGATCCACAATGGTGGACACGATGCCGTAGGCACTCAGGGTGGAATAGTTGGTCAGCGAAAGCTTCGTCTGCAGGGGCTTGAAGACGGCATGGTGATCCCCGATCTCCACGGCACTGAAGAGATTGGATCCGCCGCAAACGGCGCTGCAGATGGCGGATAGGAACGTGGCATATCGATCGCTGGCGAAGAGACAGTCGAAGTAGGAGGGATTCGTGACCAGCCGGCTGATGGCCTCCTCCACCTCCATAAACTCCAGCTCCAGGCAATCCTTGTAGGGGCAGTGCATCCTCTTGGCGGCCTCCACCATATTGCCATCGCTAATTGGCCACTCCTTGGCCTTGTTGATCAGGGTCACCCGCTTTCGACCCGCCTCTACAGCCGCCTTGAAGGCGTACTTTAAGTACTTCTCATTGCTCTTCTGGCTCACGACGGATAGGGCCTCCACCACACCTTTAACAGGGGAATACTCCAGTTCATTGTAGTTGCCCATGTTGTTCTGGCCAATCATTTGGATGTCCACACCAGGAAAGCGACACTTGAAGCCGGGAAAGCTGCGCGTCCGAGTCTTCAGCACATACAAATCCAGATCGTTGCAGATCTTCAGAGCCTTCTGTTTGGCCTCCGCACCCGCCTGGTTCTCCACATGAACGGCCGTTCTGTTCCGTAGCACCGAGTTGAAGTACTCATCGTCCTGGCCCGCCTCGATGATCTGCACCTCCACGGGCACCCGGCTGCTTTGGAGCAGGGACGACACGAAGTGGGCTCCCTGCTGGCCAATGATCGTGCTGCCTGTGAGCAAGGAGACCATATTGATCCCGCCGTACTTGGACTTGGGCAGCACGTTGACGGGGGCGAGTCGAGTGTCTCCCTTGACGAATGCCGCATGCACGCTGCTGTTTATGGATTCCGCGTAGTGGCGGGCACTGATCCTGGCCAGAAACCGGGTCACTTTCCGGGTACGCAGCATTGTTTTGGATTTAAACGGAGGGGAGTCCTAAAAATGTGCCTAATAAAATGACAAGAGCCCCCTTACAACTTGATCTTTATAGGTATTATCAAGAGGTTGTTATTTTGAATATTTTAGAATTGTACTACACATACACAAGGTACAAGCATTAATCATACAAATTTCCAACAAAAATATATCTTCTCATTTCGCCATTGAGTTAAATTGTTTCGGAAGAACTGTTTCGTTCTGAACTATTTTATAACAAACTATAGGCCTAATATGATAATTAGAAATTGGTTCGATAAATAATTATTAATCTAAGATAAGGATAACGTATTATTTAGGAATTAAAGAACTTAATAAAAACGGTACAATTTTTGGATGGAAACGTGTTTTTTAAATCATTATCTGAAATTCAGGGATTACAGAAAATACTAAATCAGAATTTGTTGAATAAAAAACTATTACTCGTAATAACTTATTTCTCATCGTACTCAAAAATTTTATTGATTGCGTAACCGAAACCTGCCCAGGATTACATATCGTAGCAGCGCGATTTGTCGGGACAGGGACAGCCATCGATGCCGTAGCGCCCGATAGGGATGTCCGTCTGGGTCTCCTTGTGCTGGGGTCCGGGCAAATCGTAGAACTTCTCATCGAAGTACCGATCCGGAAGGTAGTACATGGGATACTCGGCCCTCAGGCGCTCGTGGTCGTCGCGCAGCCATTTGGCCAACTCGGGATGTGCTCGTCGGGCCTCCAGGCGGTACTGCTTTGGTTTGGCCATTCGCACCGGAACCTCCAGGTGCAGTTTCGAGTGCGGTATGTAGGACAACAGCTCCTGGTCCAGTTTCACCGCCTGCTCCGCCCGGATCTTGGCGCAGGTGGTGCACTTGCACTTCCCGCCGTGGTAGCAATACCGCTTCCTTCCATCCTCGTCCACCATCAGCAGCGGGGTGCAGACGGGCAACGGATTCGGCTGGGCCTCCGTTTGCGTCGCCACCGAATCCTGGGCGGGATCGGAATACATGTTGGTAGACTGGTAGTTTATTGCTCCGTCGGGTGCAGTACGAACGATTTGGATTTCAAAAGGTGACTGAAACTACGAGGGAAAGGGTGTTCCATAGGTTGGCAGCAAAGGCATCGCTAGCTAGGTATTAGCTTAACGATTTACATATTTCGCACAATGACCTGTGAATAAAGATCACGCATGGATGGAAACACTTCTTCGGCATTAACAACTCATTCCAGAGTTGGGATATACCAAAGAGGAGTTCCACAACCAAGTAAGATCCTCACACCGATCACCAGCCCGAGTTTTACTTCGCCTCAAGTTCTCATCCCCCGTGCAGTAAATATTCTGGGAGAGATCCTTCTTATCACGCTTTGGCAGACCACAATCTGAACACAAATGGGACAAATCTGGAACCCTTTGAGCAGCCTTCATCTGTAGATAGTAGCACTTGAGCTCCCGTTCTCGCACCTCATTAAAAAACTCCCGCATACGTGGAGAATCCTGCACAACAGGTTCCTTTTTGGGAATGGAATTCGATTTCAACGGACAGGTTTCCAGCGTTTGGGGACTCTTGGGCTCTTTTAACTGACTGGAACGATTGCTCATCCCCCTGCTCCTCCGAGAAGAAGATGAAAGGTATGAAATGCGATCCAACTCCGAAATCTTGAAAGTGGCAGATTTTTTCTTCGGTAGTTTGGGGGCTGTACTGAGCACTCCGCTGCGCTCTGATCCCTCCGTGAACTTTCGAATGTAGGTGTTGACCTTGGTCATGGACCCGGTCGTTTGCAACAGGTACCAGTTAAGCGGCATTTCTTCCTCGGTTCTTAGTCAATCCGCAATGGTGAGAGAACATCTATTTAAAAGTCGAAATTTTGACAAAAATATTCTGGCAACCTAAGAAAAAGCCAAGTATTATACTATACTACATATTTTCAAAAGATAAATAAGCTTTCTTAGCTTAGCACCATTATAAAAGTTTAAGATAACAAATAAGATTCCACTTTTCAGAAAAAGATTTGTCATCTAATCCAAAAGATATGCATTGTCATGATTTCTCAAATTGCAAGTAATTGCATTACTCTTAGTTTACATTGAAACGCTCTTAATAAATATAAAGCTTTCCATTCCGCTCTTAACTTAATAAAATTCATTTTCTGTAATCTCTGAAAGAACGTAAGCTTTTCGAGAATACAAAACAGACGGTAAGTTCTCGCAATTGCACATTCATTTGCCGGAAGCAAAGCGGATCGGATTGTTTTACTACTTAGTGCATACTTAGATACAATGGCAAAGATAGAGGCAGAGACCCAGTGGCTGCGTTCTACGATTCTTCCAAAGATTTTAAAAAGCGGGAGACTGGTGGACAATTACAGCGATTCCAAGGAGGACACCTTCAAGTTGGGAGACATCGAGATCGATATAATCGGACACTCTGAGGCCTTTATGCTGACCTTTTGCTACAGGACAACCATAAACTTTGAATATGATGGCGAACAGTACAAGCGAAAAATGGTCGTTAAGGTATAGAAATTTTACTGTCGCACTAACAATAATTAAATATGATAGGTGTTGGGAATCTAACAAATATGGAGTAATATAATAGCAGTACACAGTCACGGAATGGTTTATAGCATTGTGTGCAGTGCACACCCCCAATTATACTGCATAGTATAGATCACCTTAACTGCGTTTTACGGATAAATATGCATATTGTTCGTGTGCCAGTTCTGTTGGCCAGCAAACACAGATAGGTATCCCATGAGTTGAGGTAGTCAAACATGGTGAAATACAAGAAACATCCAGTTTTTGTTGAGACTGCCTTATCAAAACAGTTGTAGATCAAAATTAATAGCCGATAAGGCTTTCTTAATCTTAAACCAGCAATGAGTTTCTGTTTTTAAGTCAGATTTCCCAAGCAATAAAAAACTTAAGTAATCTCTTTTTTCTTAGAAAACTCCTATGATGCCCCCAGAAGTGTATGATAGCATCCAGTTTGGAGCTCTCTTTAGCAACGAGATCAACTTCTACACGGAAATCCTCCCAGAGATACAGAAGTTGGCCGAAGGAAAGTTTGCCGCCCCCAAGTATTATTATAGTGAGTTGAATCAGCATTCGGCGGTGGCCATTCTGGAGGACTTTGCAGAGAATGGATGGCGGGTGACCAAGGATCGGGTGGGTCTGAGTCTGGAACACGCCCTCATCGCCGTGGATTACCTGGGGAAGTTCCATGGCTTTTCCTACGCTATGAAGCACACGAATCCGGAGAAGTTCTCCCAACTGACCAATAGTCTGAAGGAATCGCGCTATGCCAGCGACGTGATTCATCCAGAATGGAAGCTCTCCATGTCGACTAGCATCGAACGGGCGGCCAAGGCGGTGGCCAAATTTCAGCCCCAGATTGACGAGGAGTTTGTGAAGAAATTGAGCTTCCTGATCGCAGACTATAACCTCTATGGCCGGCAGCGGGTGGCACCCAGGGAACCTCTGGCCACCCTTTGCCACGGAGATTATGTGAGGAACAATGTGGCCTACAAGTATAATGACAAGGAGCAGCCGCAGGAGATCATGATGTTCGACTACCAGACCTTGCGTGTCTCTTCTCCCATGATCGATCTCTCGGTCTTTCTGGCCGTATCCATCTATGCTGATGTGCGCTATAAAAATTTCGATGCAATCTTCGATAAATACTGCTCGGCGCTATATGACAGCTATAAGAACCACGCCAAGCAGGAGGTTCCAGAGTCCATGAGGTGAGCATTTGAAATACAAAAATAATAGTATACTTTTTTTTTAAACATCTTCATTTTATCATAAAACAAACATGATATAATATTAAACAAATCTCTTATAAAAATTCATTTCCAACCGATCTTTAACTAAAGCATAAATAGCAGTTTCACAGAAACCGTTTGAGAATCAATTAGAATATTTAAAACAAACCTTATAAAAGGACTAATTTTCACAAAACTAAACAAAATTTTTTTCGAAAGACATTGAAAATGTTATGTGTAGATTAACTGATACTAATGGATTTTTTGGTTGGTTTTAATATGATAAGTTATAAATGATAAGATAACCAATCTTATTTGACGCTATATAATTTATGTCATGATTACCTTTCAGTCGGGGCGAGCTTCTGAAGGAGTATGTGCGATTCCTGCCGTACAGCGTGTCCATCTCGGCCAGTTTCCTCATGACCTTGGTGGCGCCATTGGACATGTCACCGGAGGAGATGTTCGCCGCCCAAATGACAAACGAGGAGATCATCGATCGCACAATGAAACAGGGAGGGGAAATAGTGGACAAGGAGGTTGCCCACCAGGTTCATGAAATGCTTGAGCTGAGCCTGCTGACTGGTGTCCCCATAGAGGACGGTATCGATGTGGACAAGTTGCCCAAAGTGTAATCATTTCCATTTCGTAGAACTTGATAAAAAAAGCTAATCAGATACTTGAAATGACCCGCATTATTTTTATGGTGTTGGGGGAAAAGACTAAAAATGTATTCTAGTCATGACTGCAAACATTTAATAGTGATAAGGGAGTAATATCCCACCTGCCCATTCCCAAATTTGGCCACTTAAGTCGTTTAATCTTATCATATCGTTATTTTTCAAAATGTTCTTATCAGCATTGTTTGGATCGCTGGCCAAAACAGCTGATTGTGGCGGGGCTGCCAGCCTGTTTTGACACCAACGTTTACCAACACTGCCTCACATGTGGGAATATAAATATCACATCAAAAAATGTTTCAACCTTCTCGGCAGCAAATTCTGCGTTTGTACAAACATTTAATTCGCTACGGCAATCACTTAAAGCTGACCGACAAGAACTACTTTCTGGGAAGAGTGCGACACGAGTTCCGGGACAACCGGTCCCTCACAGATCCGGCGGAGGTGGAGTTCAGCTTCAAGGTTCGTAAATACCACCTCCGATATTTCATAACATATTACGAAAATCCCTATGTTCCCTACATTTTAGCGCGGAGAAACCCTGCTGAAGAAGGGACGCATCCTGTAAAGATGCTGCGCGGTCTGGTGCGACTCCTGGCGCTTCCTCCGCCCGCTGTGCGCTGCAAATCCTCTGCCAATCTGGATTATTCCCTCTTTCCCACGCTCCAGGAGTCCGAGATCGAGGAAACCTTTATGCGCGGCAGTGGTCCCGGTGGCCAGGCGGTGAACAAGACCTCCAATTGCGTGTTCCTGCGGCATCTGCCCACCAACATCACCATCAAGTGTCACACTCATCGACTGGCTTCCAAAAACCGCGTGGAGGCGCGAAAACTCCTGCTCGAGAAACTGGACATCCATCTTAATGGGGAGCATTCAATTGCGGCGCAAATCAAGGCTCAGGAGCAGAGAAAGTCCACAGAGCGGCGGCGACGTCAGGGAAAACTGCAGGAAATGAAGAAAAACTGGCAGGACAGAGAACGCACAGATGGAGGAAACGAATCCACAGATAAATAGTTAATGTACAATTTCTTAAACATATATTTTTGCATGTGTAAGTACTACCAACTGGAAAAATTTCCAAAACCATTCGCAAGTTTCTTTTTTTTGGCTGCTTGAGCAGAGGGAAGCGACGTCTCCGGCTTCTTTGCCAAAGCCTGAAGCTTTAAATACTTTCCCACACCCTCCCTGTACACCTTTAGCGGTTCCTTCATGCGTTTTTGCTGCTCCTCCTTCTTGACAGTCTCCTCCTTGCTGGCCGCCTCCTCTTCGCGCTCCTTTGCCAGCTGCTCAGTTGCCTCGGCAAAGGGATTAACGAAGACCTGTGAGGACTCAATGATAATATCCTCAATGGGTCTGTCTTTGTTGTCCACCTCGATGTTCTCCATTTTCTGAAGAGTGTCCAAGCCGCCAACCAGCTTGCCAAAGATTGTGTGTTTGCCATCGAGATGCTTGCATGAGCGATAGGTGATGAAGCTGAAGAATGCATAATAGATAAGTAAAAGCATCAGAAAAAAGAATCCTGGTCTACTCACAACTGAGAACCATTAGTATTGGGTCCCGAATTGGCCATGGAAAGCACTCCTCGACCCGTGTGCGTTAGATTGGGCTTGAACTCGTCCTCAAACTTCTTGCCCCAAATGGATTCGCCACCAGAACCACTGCCCGTGGGATCACCACCTTGTACCTGAAGCAAAAACAATTATAAGTACATATAAGCTTCCTCTAAATATGCATCAAACTTACAATAAAATTCCTTATGGATCGGTGAAACATAACATTGTTGTAGTAGCCATTAGCACAATGCTTTATAAAGTTATCGCAGGCTTTAGGAATTTGATCGCAGAAGAGTTCCAGGTTGAGAGGGCCGAAATTGGTATTTAGGCGAACGTAACCCTTCTTTTTTACCCTCTCGTACTTCACAAGATCGTCATCTATAATTGCCGCCTCTATCTGGGACACGGGCACCATGGCGGTGGATGTGAAACTGGCGGCAACCGCTCCAGTCGAATAGTGAGCCGCATTGAACTTGTCGGCTGTGCGCTTCGAAGTGGAGGGCTCCTCCTCCGCCGGCTGGTAGTCCTGCTGAAGCTGTGCCAACGTCTCCTTGGTCTCCAGATTCATAGTCTTAATGCGCCCGCTGGCTGGATTCTTTCGCTCCTGCTGCTCCTCTTCGGTCAGAACTCGCAGGTTCTTCTTAATGTGATGAAAGGTGGAGATGTCGTACTTCTCCAGCCTCTGAGGATCCTGTATGGTGATGATGTCCTTGCGCAGAAAGGGGGTGTCGTCCACCAGATCCTTCCAGTTCTTCGTCTTGATGTTTAGCTGATCAATGGCCTCCCAGCAGTAGACATTTCCCGTGGTGGCCACCGCCACGATGTGCGAGTTCTTGCTGAACGGCTTGAACAAGGCTGGGCAGTGGTACTCATCGTTGGCATTGCGGTGAAAGTTCAGTTTGATCAGGGATTTGGAGTCCATCTTCTGCCCGTTGATGGGATTCACCTTGAAGGTCTTCAGGAACTTCAGGATGGCCTCGTACTCGAACACATTTCCCTGCAGATCGCAGTACGGCATCTCGAAGGGTGCCATGGTGATGCAGCAGTGCTCGAAAGGTAATCTCTTGAACTTGACATGGTCGTTCTCCGCAGATTCTACCTTTTTCCCGCCGTACAACTCACTCCACTCCGTGTACGTGAGGTACCTGGAAATGTAAGGGGTCAACTGAATATGTTCCGGTTTCTCAGTGTACTAAACACTTACATTTTGTCCTTTTGATGCTGCCTTTTACCCATCTTGTCTGTTTTTAATTAATATTTGTAATAAAAAGCGAAGATCCAGAATATTTGTTTACAAATGTGGGACAGAACTGACAACTCATGTGCAGACTTCCTGTTCATGACTTTCAATAGGTTCATACTTGGCGCATCTTTCAAATGCAGCTAGAATATGGTAATACTTTTTTGATTAACTTATAAAATTATAAAAAATAGATTTATATTTTATAACAAAGGTTTTAAAAATTGATATTTAATTAACAGAATATTAATAAATAATTATACAAATATTGCTTATTTTGTTTCGCCAAACATAATAAAAAGTAATATAATATAAATAATCCTTTAATTAATTTTCCCAATCATATCCTACATACTGCAGCGACAGTGTGAACGCTTTGCAGTGGGCACTGCGTAATTCCTCCGACCCACCACTTTCCCAGTATTTCGGCGTTGTCCAACACTGCACTTAGTAGAATCAGCTGTTCGCTGGGAAGGTTCAGCAGAATCAAACAACAAAGAATTTTCCAACTTATACTATACGGCGATATAAATAGGCAGCACAATTGACCTTGACGTTGGGCGATGTCTAGCCCCCATATCAACTACCGCTCCCTGGCCGAGGAGGCGGCCAGTCCGTTCCTGGAGCAGCATCCCTCCGCAGGCCAAGGCCCAACAAAAACACAAGACGCAAAAGCGAACGCAGCTGCTGCGCATTTAGACCCCCTCGGCGAACACGGGATGGAGCAGGCGCTGGAAGATCTCGACACTGAGCACGAGGCCGAGGACACGCCCCGGAACAGTGGCGTCATGATCCACATGGTCCCGGAGACGGGGCGTGCGCGGTGGAACCACATCGAGGACCTCGACTCGTTCTTCTCGCGGATGTATCAGTACCAGCAAAAGCACGGATTCACTGTGATTGTGGTGGACGAAATGCTACAGGTTCTGGAATTCGGATTCGTCGTCTGGCTACTGACCGTTGTGATGCACTGCGTCCGCTTCGATGTGCTCTTCGGGGATGCCCCGCCCGGTGGAGCCAATCCCAACAAGACTACCCTCGGCGATGTGCTGGTCCCTACGGGGGAGTGCTTGGCCAGTTTCAACTGGTTCACCTACCTGGTTGTGTTCATTGCCGCCATCTATCTGGGCATTCGTCTGCTAAAGATGGTCTACCATATTACCCAGTACGCCGATATCAGGAGGTTCTACAACTCTGCGCTTCACATCGAGGACGCGGATCTGGACAACTTCACGTGGCACGAGGTGCAGCAGCGCATCCGTCGCGTCCAGGCCGAACAGCACATGTGCATCGACAAAGAGTCGCTCACGGAATTGGACATCTACCACCGAGTGCTGCGTTTCAAGAACTACCTGGTGGCCCTGATGAACAAGCAGCTGCTGCCCGTGCGATTTCACATACCGCTGTATGGAGAAGTGGTCTCGCTAAGCCGGGGTATGTTGTTCAACATTGACTTCATCCTGTTCCGCGGACCTGGGTCTCCTTTCCAGAACAACTGGCAGCTGCGGGATGAGTTTGCAGTGAGAAGCAATCAAACTGAGCTGGCGCAACGCCTGTCAAAGCTGATATTGGGAGTGGCGTTGCTCAATTTGCTTCTGGCTCCGGTGATCTTTGTGTGGCAGCTCATCTACTTTAGCTTCTCCTATGCGAACATCCTGCGCAAGGAGCCAGGGGCCCTGGGACTGCGAACCTGGTCGAATTACGGACGCCTCTACCTGCGTCATTTTAACGAGTTGGATCACGAGCTGGACGCCAGGCTAAATCGGGCCTATGACTATGCGGACCGCTACCTAAACTCCTTTTCCTCGCCACTGGCCGCTGTGATAGCCAAAAACATGCTGTTTATCAGTGGAGGACTTCTGCTGCTCATCCTTACATTGGGTATCTACGAGGAACACGTTTTCCAGGTGGAGCATTTGCTGTTCATCAGCGCTGGACTCGGCGCCATTGGTGTGGTCTGCCGAACTCTCATACCCGATGAGAACCTCATATGGTGTCCGGAGCAACTGATGACCGCCATCCTGGCGCACGTCCACTACCTGCCCTCCGAGTGGCGACAGCAAGCGCACACGGCGCGAGTTCGTCAGGAGTTCAGCAGCTTCTTCCAGTTCAAGGCTGGCTACCTGCTCAGCGAGATCTTCAGTCCGTTTGTCACACCGTTTGTGCTGATCTTTGTGTTCAGGCCAAAGGCCATAGAGCTGGTGCGCTTCTTCAGGACGTTCACCGTCTCCGTGCGGGGAGTGGGCAACGTCTGCTCCTTCGCTCAGATGGATGTGCGTAAGCACGGCAATCCCGACTGGCAGCTGACCAGCGAACTGGAGGAGATGACGCGGCCGGCAGCACAACAGCCGCATCAGCAGCAGGAGCCGCAGCAGCAGAGTCTGACCGGCGGCAAGACGGAGATGTCGCTGGTGCGCTTCACGCTCAACAATCCCGAGTGGCAGATGCCCAAGGAGGCCAAGCAGTTCTTACGCGGCGTTCGGGAGCACGCCGTCGGTGAGCTTGTCCAGGCTAAGACTTCTATGGTGCAGGACAACCCGCTGACCAACAGCCTCATCTCGTTTGGCACCATGGGAGCGGAGTACTGCTCCATTGCCAACTCGGTGCTGACCGCACAAGTGACGCCCCAGCAATTGGAGATCTCGCAATCGCTGCGTCCAGGACTGGGACCAGTGTCCGGAGGATTTCCCGTCGCGGCCAGCGACTTCCGTCAGATGCTGCAGCAAAACCTATCGGCCAGCGTGGGTCCGCTGGACAGCATGCGCCGGTTGCGTCTCAGCCGGGCTGAGGGCCGCTTGGAGGGACCGTCGGACACCCTGCTCTACGGACTCTGTGGAGTGGATCCTCGCGTGGGCAGCAGTCCCCTGAACGTGGGCGTGGCCGACATGTGCCTGAGCGCCCTCTATCTCCACGAGGTGAACCAGCAGAGGCGCCAGGCGCGTCAGTCCCGCATCGAAGAGGCCGAGGACGAGCGTCCGGGACCGAGCCAGTGGCCACCACGGCCACCCGCTGCTCCGTCGACTGCCGGTGGCTCCGGATCCGGCTCCCGCCATACCGTGATTACCTCAAAGGCTGCCGAGAGCACGCCGCTTCTGGGCAGCATCCGCTCATAGCAGCGGCCAGAGTGGATCTAACCACTTGTAGAGCTAAGGACCCATTCTGCTATTAGTGATTAACCTAAGTTTTAAAGTGTGAACGAACGAACGAGCGAACGACGTCGTCTAGTGCGTAGCTAAACTTATCTGAAATTAAGCTAAACTAAACGAGAAGCAATAAACCTAACTGCATTATCAAAATGAAGAGTTGTACTTCTTTTGGTGGAATTTCATCTGATTTGAGCAAGGCTTAGTCCATTTAAAGAAAGTATCTTTAATATAAATACAAATGTTTAATGGATCAATCTGAAATACTTAGTATACTTGATTCACTTTGATTTTTATACAATTTCATAACATTATGATATATTTTAATGTCATTTGACCTATACAATCCAAGTAGGCACCATACAAATTCCGTTTTCATTGTGAGGATTATATTTAATGGCCTTACGGCTTATCCCGATCTTACCGCTCCGGGTTGTGGGAATCCTAAGGTGACACCCCTGCCACTTTCGGGGTCTCTGATGGATGGCCCCCATTTGTAGGCATTGTTGGCACACCACACCACATCCACCTGGTTCCGAGATCCAGATGCGAATGGATGAGGAGAACGCATCCAGCTGTGCTGCAGCGCCTCGTGTGTCACTTGCCACACACGAACGCCATTTGGCGATTGGTGTTGATGGCCAATGCGGCGAGCAGAGACTGAGACCGCGGCGGAGGATCGGGTCCACAGCGGTGGAGCGGCCAAGTGCGTGCCTATGAATCTCCCAAACCCGCAGACACCGATACAGATGCAGATACCGCCGATCCCCGCCAGCTGTGGCAACATTTATGAATTATGTGCGTGCCGCATGGAGCTGGAGCTGTTGCTGTTGCTGTTGCATGGAGCTGGAATCTGCGGCTGGATCGCTGGAGAGTCTTTGGATCACGTTGTCTCATTTTTCCGCTGCACGCCAATTTTGGGGGGAGCATTGCATGGCCATTGCCCAACATTACACGAATATACGAGCTGCCAGACGGCCCGGCCACTTGCCCGTTTTGGATCCATCCTCCGACTCTCGCAGTCCGATGGACGCTGGAGATGCAGTTGCAGTTGCATGTAGTACTAATTGTAGAGCTCGCGATATCTGATCCGGCACAGAAAAAAACGTTTTCAGTATCAGATCCAAGTTCTTAACAATTAGAATTCCTCAAACTATATATTGAGTTCCGTTTGATCTTAGCCTAAGCTAGCTTATTCTAATTTAAAATGTTTTAGAAAGATGGAAGGGACAAAGTTAAATAATTCTAGATTTATGAAAATGTTTTTTACCATATATGTATATTAAGAATATATCTGCAATGTATTTCAAATAAATGTATTTCAAACAAATTGCTCTTATATTGACAGTCTTTTTTTCGATTTCCTAAAATTTCATAAAAGATACGATTAAAATGGCACAAGAATGTATCTTATAAAGTTTTATAATAAATAAGAGATTTTTATTGTTTAGATTTATGAAACCACAATTTGGTATGTATTAAAAAGGTAAAAATATTAAGAAAATCATATCAGTTCGGAAAAAAGTATATAATTATTTATTGGACACGAGTAAAACTGCTAGTGACATAGGATTGTATCAAGAAGTTTAATATTTTAGAATAAGTTACAGGGGTATATTGTTTAGAGATTTTTGGATCCATTACTTGTCAGGAAAGTTTAAATATGATATAAGTATAATATTAAGAACGTTATGCTATTATTTTGGAACCATTCTGAACCACCAAGATGTTAAAGTGGATAATTATTATTGGAAATGCCAGTTATGGGTGATATATTTTCCAAAGTGCAGATAAACGCAATAGAGTGGTGCGACGCTTATGGCTCAAATGGAAACATTTCGCGAGCCTTGTCAAACAATCGAATTTAATTTATGATTTCCTGCGCCAATCGAGTAATGACACTGCATGTGGTAGACCTCGGCGGACCCGAAACTCTGGATATCTGGTGATC